ATGTACTTACCACAACCTAAGTATAAAGAGAATCTCTGCCAAAAAAAAAAATTATTTCTAACATTAGTAAGAAAAAAATAAATGAGTTTTTTATTTCTTTGTACTACAGTAAGATTTTTACAAAGAATACAGCGGTAAATGAATTTTTATGGGTTCTTTTTTAATTTTCAAGTTTTTGCACCCTAGAAAGTATGAATGCTTAGCCACCATTGTCTGACCATTTTAGTGTACGTGCAAGGGACACATCTTACTCTATAAGCAGTCCAGAAAATACTTTTTCTTGCATCTGTTTTCCAATCTGCTAACCCCTTTTATACTTCAGGAAACTAAAGCCACATATGGTTCTATAAATTATTCATGTGTATATCCAATGCATATGTAATTTGTCCATATATGTTACTCTGTAATGTGCCCCCCACCCACCCTCACACACATACATTAGAATGAAATACCAAATTCTTAGAGAAACCTAAAGACTTAACCGACTGGTCAAGCTTCCATGCAAACTCTCAGGGTAACAGAGGCCAATTTACTGCAGATCTCTGCTGTCCTGAGATGCTTTTTAGGGCAGAGATTCAGAGTATAGATTATGGACCCAAACAACCTGGTTTAAACTCCTGCTCACCACAGTGATGGTGCAAACATACCTTACAGACCACCACAGGCTGTACTCTGAATTCCATCACTGTGCATTAAGAACTTTGTTTCTCCGGCTCCATGGCCAAGCATGACAAACATGGCCGAGCTAGGCTGTTTCTCAACATAAAATTCTTCTAATAGCCAGTTTACACCTTTTGTTTTGCTAAGCCTTCCTTAGGCTATGTGGTAGTTTAGGATATTCCACCCAACACACCTTCCCTGTCACTTGAACTTGGGGTCACACTTGAACTGTCAAGTGATAATCCTCCCAGTATTTCCAGCTCCTTCCCCATCTCACAAAAAACCTACACATATAATCCTGTCTTGGCATCTCCTTGGGTAACAAAATTGAGGCACCAATTTTAGTGTGTGGGGCATTAGTAGTCCCTGGCATAAGACTGCAGCTTATGTTGACCTGGGACAACATCCCAGTGGAGGTAAATACTGTAGTAGGAGTAAGGATACAAGGATTTGAAAAATAGAGTGGGAGTGATGCTTACAAAGACGACAAAATTGGCTGGTCACACTCATGTTGGAGTCCTGAAGAAATGAGAAATGGCTGTTAAGCTATTAGTAGCTAGATGTGAGAAGCAGTGTGCTGGCTTATAAAGAGGCCTTTAGCACCTGAAGCAAGACAGATCCAGCTGGACTGCTGCTTAAGAGCTTATTGCTAAGAGGTACAGCACTCCACCCACATCTGGGCATTGAATGTTTAAGAAAGTCTGTTAATATGAAGGTAGAGAGATGTAGGATCCTGAACATGGGATGAGGTCATCTAGTTGATCCCCATAGACTCCCTCTGGTTTAACTGGCATGCCTGCTGTGCTGGGGGGTGGGGGGAACCCTTGCCTCCCTCCCCCTGAACTGCCCTTCCTGGCTGCCAAACCAATCATTAGGATTAAATCCCAGCGTAACCCAACTAAGGCAAGCTGGCATGTACTGGCAGGAACCAGGAGAGTACACCTGGGACTGGGTATTAACGGTGCTTGGTTCTGTGGATTGAAAGCTATCATGGTAGAGAGAGCCAAATGAAAAACTGAAGCTGCCTCTTGTTCTGCCAAGATGGATCAGAAGCAAACATGTATGTTGGAAGAAGATGGAATTTGGTGCCCTCATTTAAGACCTAAAGGATGGGGCAGAGATGTTCCAGGCCAAAGCCTGGAACTTGCCAGGCTGCTCTCTGAAATTAGATAGATCTTAGAGAATGACTATGGACTATTACTGACTTAACCAAGTAATAACCCAGATCCCAGCCTCTAGCCTAGACTCGTGCTTCAGCCTATTAATACTGCCGAAAATACAAAGTAGGCAACCATTGATTCAACAAATGTATTTATTCTATTGCATCAGAAAAGAGGAAGAGGAAATAGTTCCCCTTCACTAAATACAGACAGTAATATTAAAGTGGAATGACTTGCCTCGAGCCTGTTAACTCCTCCACCATCAATCATAATAGAATGAATCTATCTGAACAGTTTAAATATTCCTTAGGACAACAGTCTGGTCCTCTTTGTTGACCACATTGTTGTTACTGAGTGGATCTGATTAACACAGGACAGCCACTTTGCTGAACACCTTCATAGAGTGTGTGCCCCAGGAGGAGAGAGGAAACACTAAAAAAATGAAAAGTTTGACTTTTTTTTAATTTGGTGGCATGTTCCTGTGTGTGCATGTGTGTAGAGCCAAAGGCAGCCTTAAGTGTCACGCTCAAGAATGCCATTCACCTCCTTTGAGACTAGGTCTCTCACTGGCCTGGAGCTCACCAAATTAGGCTGGCCAGTGAGCCCCAGGGGTTGTCCTCTCTTTGTCTCTCCAGCACTTAGATTACAAGTACATCCCAACATGCCTGGCATTTTTATGTGTGTTCTGGGAACTGAACTCAGACCCTCATGCTTGTAAGGCAAACACTGACTTAGCTATTGCCCAAGCCTGAGCTCTCCAACTTAGAAAGGTTTTTAAAGGGCCCGTGTTCATGGAGTCTTAGTCAGGGTTTCTATTGCTGTAAAGAGACACCATGAACAAGGCAACTCTTATAAAGGAAAACATGTAAGCAGCCAGCTTACATTTCAGAGGTTTAGTCCATTATCATCAGGGTAGGACGTGGCAGCATGCAGGCAGGCAAAGTGATGGAGAGGTAGCTGAGAGTTCTACATCTTGAGTTGCAGGCAACAGGAAGTGATCTGGGACACTGGGCAAGGTGTGAGCATATATGAGACCTCAAAGCCTGCCTCCACAGTGACACACTTCCTCCAACAAGGCCATACCTACTCCAACAAAGCCACACCTCCTAATAGTGCCACTCCCTTAGAGCCATTGTCTTTCAAACCACCACAAAAGGGGAAAGGTATGATGAAGAGTTTGTAGAAATTCCAATGGAAGAATCATAGCTCAAGTTTTTCAGATTCTGGAGCAGGGTGGTGCCACCTGCAGCAGAGAACTGAATCCCCATTGAAACAGCCGAGCCCTGTAGAGACAGAATAGAGCACATGGAACCTTGCTCTTCCTAGCCCTAATCATTCCAGAAGCATTTATTAGTCCACAGTCTATAGAAAGAAAACACTTTCCCCTCCTTCTATCTTTGTCTTTTAATTTATAACACAATGTACTTATGATGTTTGATCAACAGATTAAAACCCACTATGATTATGTATTTTGATGTTCTGAATATCCTTGATTTGACCAATGGAAGCTCCGATGCCTGTATCCTTTTCTTGGGCTATCATTCATTTGGCCCTTTCCTAATTTTTGATATAAGAGGATGTCCCAGGCTCATCTATATTCCCAGCTCCAACCCTGGAATCAGCTGGGTTTCTGGGGAGCCCTGTTTATTTTCCATGACAAATGGTATTCTAAAACCAAAACCCCTGTGCCAAGTTTGCTCATGCTCCTGGCATGTCATTTCTTGTGCTTCTTCTCAGCAGAGAGTAACACAGATACCTCCAGCTACTTCAACATATTAAAGAACACAAGTGTTGGCCAGTCATGATAACACATGCTTGTTAATCCCAGCACTCAGGAGGCAAGAGGCAGGCAGATATCTGGGAGTTCAAAGCCAGCCTGGTCTGCATAGTGAATTCCAGGCTAGCCAGGGCTACACAGTGACAACCTGTCTCAGCAAAGCAAAACAACCCAAAAGTGCATTCTGATGCCCTTGGGGCCATATGAAGAGTGCTTTCTAGTTTTCCCTTCTGCCATATTTCAAACTCACTCAGCAGAAAGAAACCTGACTGCCATTAGCTTCAATCTTCATATGCTCCAGGGTACACTATACAGAAAGTAATTTTAGAATTGCTCCCTGATATAATCATGCAAAGAAAACTTACCGGAGTTTTAGGTGGCCTGTCTCTTGTCAGTCATCTCTCTGCTAGGTCACTGAAGTGCCATTTGTGGACCATGAGCTGGGAACTCAACACTCTAGGCTGTCTAGGCTACTAGCTTTAAACCTGTCTGCTATAACTAAACATGCCTGACACAAAACTGTTTTTATTGGGCAATAGTAGCTGATCACGACTTTGTCTTATGGGTTTTAGTGCTTATAATCATGTCACTAGGAATTGCCACCTCAGCCGAATGAAAGGGCAGACTTCCCCCAATGGTGCTGTTTAATCCGTTTAGAAGCACACCATAATAGATTGCTTTTAAGCCATTTCTATCCGCAACAGAGGTGGCTGTGCCGCGCAATGGATAGCCCATTGGACTTCTATCCGAGACAGTGCATGAAGCTCAATTCTTATTTGTGTCTTTTTATACCTTGCACTAAAACCACATCATATATAAATATGATACAGATGTTTTTAAACAAATATTTAGGAAAATATTCAAAGGGAAAGGTGCTGTCAAAGGCAGTGTTCCAAAAGTGGAAGGCTGGTGCTCTCTCAACAACAACAACAAAAAAAAACATTTGATCTTTAGGAGGTGGCATACTATGGTTGCAATAGAAATTCAGAGACTGGGATTTTGTGTGGTGTGGTGTGCTGTCAACAACAAGTTTGCAGAGGTCAAGTCACTTGTGCCTTCATAAGGGTTCCTTCCTGTTTGTGAAAATTTGTTGTAACTTACTAAATACCCTTAGGCAACTTTAACTTGTTCTGGTGGTTTGGATGAGAACAGCCCCCATAGGCTCATATATTTGAAGACTAGATCACCATTTGGTGGAACCATTTGTGAAGGATTAGGAGGTATGGACATTTTGGAGGAGATATGGCAGGGGGCTGGCTTTCGACATCAAAAGCTTTCCACCATCCCTGATGTACCTGTTCTGCTTCCTGCTTTCAGATCAAGATGTGAGCTCTCAGCTGCCACTGCCACCATTCTTTACCCCCACCATCATGGACTCCACCCCTCTGAAACCATAAGCCCAATTAAATGACTGTGGTGTTTTATTACAGCAATAGAAAAATAACAGATACAGGTGCCATCTTAGCAACAATCTGTAAGCAGAACAAACATGAGTGAATGCTTTGGTACTGAGAGTCTTGGGGGAGGGCTGACACTGTGGTTGTTAGCATCAGTGTTCATGGCCATCCAGTACACTAGGTTTTTTTCTGAAACATGAGAAGCACAGATTGACTGTTTTCACCAGCCTGATGGCAGTGCATGAACTTGCCCATCAGCCTTGCTGTTAACTATCTTCTCTTTACTAAAATCATATTTTTTGTGTGTCTTCAAAGTGCTTGGCCTGTTTTCTTCGAACTTGCATAACAAAGAAGATGTTAGGCTAGGGAAATAAAGGAAAATCACTTTTAATCTATGAAAAGCACATTGATCTAATTTATAAGGTCATGTGAAAGCTACTTCTATATGGATGGACCTGCTTTGATACTTTCTCACCAATAAATTAATCATCTATCTGTAGTTAGATAATTAGACAAAAATATGAATTTGTTATTATTGAGTACTCCTGTCTGTGGACTTAAAGTTCACTTCTGTGAAAGCCTTCAGCATCAGTTTTACATTGATGGGCCTGCTCCTGGTGTTAAGACTGTTTAGCTGGGATTCTTTAAGGGAGGTTAATTTTTAAGTCAACTATTACTGAATGTCTAGGCAACTAAAGATGGCCCAGTCATATCCATTTCGTGGCATTTGTGCTCTTTTATTGTCTTCTTGATTTCCCTCTTTACTCACCCTCACCGTTGCTTTTGTCCTTACCTTTCGGTACAGAAGATGACCCAGTCTCATCTACTTTCCCAGGTCCAATCCTATCATCAGCTATTTATCTTTTTTTTCTTTTTTTTTTTTTTTGATTTTTCGAGACAGGGTTTCTCTGTGTAGCTTTGGAGTCTATCCTGTCATCAGCTATTTATCTAAGAGCCCTGTTTATTTCCAGTCAAGAATGGTATCCACAAACAAAAGTCTGAGTTGGGGGAAATCGAAGTCTGGATCCTTCTTCCGCCCGCTGGGTTCCACCTTTGCCTTCCCTCTTTTAAGTTCCAATAGAGCCACTTGTCATCCTCTGAACTGCTTTAATGAAAAGCAGGGACCCAGGGATGGCTAAGGGCCAACAGCCAGGGAGGAAATGAACCCTGTCAACAGGAGTGGGTTTGGACATGCCCTCATCTTTCCACCGGAGCCAGAGATGACAGAGAGCCATGGGCTGACACTGTGATGTGGACTTGTGAGACATTTGTGAGTCAGAGGACCCAGCTAAGCTGGATCTAGATTACTGGCCAAAAAAAAAAAAAAAAAAAAAAAAACCCTGTAAAATGGTAAATTGACTGTTTGAAGTTGCTCGATTTTGGAGTAATTTACTACTAATACGTAGATAACCGATTGTCTTTTTTAAAAAGGAGAATCACAAAAGTCCTCCATCCCATTTTCTTGTTACAGCTGTAACTAGCATTTCCATGTAAAACAGGAGGTGTGTGACCCTGGCTACCCATCAGACCACCTGACAGTCACCTTCACATCACACATTCAGATGGAACTGGTCTGAGGTAGACATCCTATCTCAGTACTTAACAAACCCCAAGTGTTTCTAATGGTAAATGAAGAATCACAGATGCAGCCCAGTTGAGTATGTCAAGCACTTTCTGTGTGTCAGCTATAAAAGTGATGACACAGAATAGGGCATGATGCTCCCCGGCCTTCTAAGTAAAGTGAGCAACATACAAAACAGATTTTAATTACAGCCATGGAAAATGCTCCAATAGAGTTACAAAATGATGGAGAGAAAAGGGAACCCCCTAAGTCAGCCTGATAAAATCAGAAATGATTTCACAGAGAAAAACATTGGGCCCAGACATCAGTATAAAATAGTCGGCATGAATATAGTGGAATAAACACTGCAAAGGAATAAGGAGAGTCAAGATTCCCAGTTACGGAATGAGCAGGGAGATGGCATATACTTATTTGAATAAGAAAGTGGCAGAGGGCTTTCAAGGGGTTGGGGGCGTCCACAGAATATAAAACTGGAGCTGAGCAGTCTGAGCATGAAAGGGACATGGCTTATGGTAGTGGCAGAAGGAATAGGGCCTGGGGCAGAGGAGTGGGCAATGAGAGTCAACGAAAGCATCCGGGGCTGGTATGGGAGTTCCGGTCTGGTGATGCTATGGGGTTGGCAGCTCACAGGATGGGGGGGCAGGGGGTGTGGCAGAGGTTTAAAAAAACATATTCAAACTTCTAATTTTAAAGCCTCCACATAAGCAACTGTCTGAGTCAGCACTTGAGATGAAAACCAAATTGCCAGTGCCATTTGCTGAAAGACCGCATGGGAGTGGATGCTGTATTAGTTTGGGAAGAATGAGGACAAAGCTTTGAGACTTCGGGTATCTCCATGGTTTAGTGATCTGTAGTGCACTTCCAATAGGAGCAGGGGATCCCATTCTTTTTCCCCTTATGTATTTACTTATTTGTTTTTCTTTTAAGACAAAACTTAGGTGGCCCAGGCTGGTCCTGGATTTCTGATTCTCTGGCTCAGCCTCCAGAGAGCTGGGTTACAGAAGGGCTCAGGAAGGCCTTGAGAATTAGATATGTTGGCTCTGAGAACACATTCTGTTTTACAGTGAGCCACAGATACTGCTTTGAACTCTGCTTTCATCCACTGGCTGCAGTTTATTCGATACTCTCTTTCTAGGTGCCATTGCTCCAAACTCAAATCTTAGTTTGTCCAGCAGTCAGTAGCATTTTGAGCTGACATTGACATCAGATTTTTTAACATCTTTTTTGTTGTTTTTGTTTGTTTGTTTTTGTTTGTTTGTTTTGTTTTTCAAGACAGGGTTTTTCTGTATATCTTTGGAGCCTGTCCTGGAACTAGCTCTTGTAGACAAGGCTGGTCTCAAACTCACAGAGATCCTCCTGCCTCTGCCTCCCAAGTTCTGGGATTAAAGGCAGGCGCCACCACTGCCCGGCTTTAACAACTACTTGATCTTATTTTTGAGGATTTCATACATGAGTTTTGTTGTCACATCATCCCATCCTCCCTTCCACCCTCATTCCTCCTATGTCCCCTAACTCCCTCTCACATTCATAATCTCTTAATTTTTATTGTTATATTCACATATGAATATAATATATATTACACACATACACACAATGTTCAGTGTTCTCATATGCACATGTGTTTTAGAGCTGACCACTTGGCATTTTGGTTTTGAGCCTAACCCAGGGCTGGCCACTTAGTATTGGATAGCCATCCAGGGGTCTTGTCCCTGGAAAAGACTCATTCTCCCTCTCTTAACAGCCATTAATTGCCTGTAGCTCCTCATTTCAGGGTGGGGACTTGTGGGTGATGGTGTTCATGTTTCTTCTAAGAATCTGGTCCTTGTTTTCATTTCAAAGAGCAATACAGTCTAGTTCACCCACTGCCTAAGACATTTCTGCCCTGAATGTCAGAGTGAGTGTACATTCTTACATGGACTCACAACAGACATGGACATCTACTTTCCAGCTGCAGTCTGCTCACCTGTTGTGTGGGGGCTTTTCATTCTTTATTTTGTGGTGAAGACACTCAGTATTCCCATTACTTAATTTGATGCTTTGAACTTTTCAAGCTGTTGTTCTTTCTCCTTTAGTCTGGATAGCTGTGTCCCCACAAGAGGAGGAGCAGTGGCAGAAAAACACAACTGAACCTCACTGTGGCAAAAAGAAAAAGAAAACAATAACAACAACAACAAAAAAAAAACAATTACAAGGTCTGGACATAGAGCCTGAGGCTGATATTAAGGGAAAAAAAAAAGATGCTTTTGTCTGCATAACTTGACTTGTATCTCTCCAGTAAATCAAACCTGCAATTCCACTTGGCTGCCTCGAAGTCACTTAGATGTCTGCCAACGAGAACATTAATGAACTCAGTATCTCACACAGGTTTGTTCATGTAGAGGATAGGATCGCTTGGCCTTCCTTCCAGCTGCAGCCTGGGCTCTATCTGATGAGGTGGAAGCTGGGTCATCACTTAATCCCAGGATATTGTAGGTCTTGGTCCCCAATTCTTCTGTCCAGTTTCAGGATGGTTTGGCTTTGAGAAACCACCGAGGGGTAATTCTTGTCATGAAAAAACTTTATGAAGCTAAATCCTTTCTGCCTTTGTTCTTCCCACCTTATGTTCTTGTGACAATAGCACATAATTTGTGTTCTCGCTTTTGTATCTTTGTTTACCTTCACAGAACAAATAGTTGCTCCTTACATTTTTCCAAATGGTATGAGAGTATTAAAAGAGACATGCTAAACTTCAGATGAACCTAATTTGTCAAAAATGTAATAGAATAATATATAGATCACTTGTTCTCAAACTTTTCTGTAGGCAGAGTCTAATGATGGTCTATAAAATTCTAATTCACAGGCCAGGTTCCAGACCAATTAAATCACCACTTCTGAGGATGGGCCGTAGGCATCAATAGTATTTTGACTCCGCAGGTCATTCCCATGTGTAGACATGTTTGGAAACCACTGATCTGGACAAGGCTGTTTGGATAATTGTGAGGCAGCACAGCTGTGACTTGTTTGTCTCCCCTGCCCAGCCCTGCTTTGGTGGTATGTATTTGGCCTTTTAGCATCTTTATCATCTCCACCCACAGAGGACTCTGAGGGTGTGTGCCTAAGCACACTGTATCAGTGGGAAATCCATAACCAAAAGGCAACAACAATTGAAGGAGCAAGGACCACAAGTGGATGTAAAACAGATTATTTGAACTTGTTTTGTGCTTAATGGTAGATTTTAAACATGTCACTGATAGTAAAGGTTTTTTGGTTTTTGGGTTTGTTTTTGTTTTTGTTTTTGTTTTTGTTTTTGGTTTGTTTGTTTTGTCTTGCAATTGCAGTCACTAAGGGCTTCTCAAACAGTTTGTGAGCTCTGTCTAATAAGACACTGTTTTCATGCTGTAAGCTTTAGAATTCCCTCATTTTGGAATTTCTTTGTGTTGGCTTTCTTTGTATGGCTTGGCAGTAAATGCAAGGAGTCCTATGAGCATTGAGTGAGAACTTTCCACCTGTTGTGTTTAAAGAATCATAATCTGATGTAAAGGTAGCTGTTGGAAACCTTACATTTTTGTTTGTGTAATGTGTATACACAATGCAATACTTACTTATGTAAAAAAAAAAAAAAAAAAAAACGACTCAGTTCTGGAACTGAGGGGAGTGTGATTTTTAATTATAGCGACAGTTGTTTACTCACAGGTGACTTACATGTTGGAGCTCAGAGCTCTAGCACTGTATAAATGATTACATACCGGCTTATAAAAATTTAGAACTAATAGAGTAACTGGGTTATTTTATTAGCTGTACCTGGAGAGAAATTGAAATAAATTTATAATTGAAGTTTTTGGGTGATTGCAATTATCCAAATAGATGTGATCTTGACTTTATGGAACTTATAAGTAATTTCACTATATTTCACTATTTTTAAGCTTTAGTCAACTTAGAAACAATGGAAACTTAATTTTTGATTTATTGCTTAATTAAATCATTCTGTGCTAATATGTAGAAGTTCTAGACCTTGTCCTTAATTCATCATTGCCTGCTACCACTGAGGAGTGGAAACCAAAGACACATATCTGTAATCTAAATCATTCATAATATCTGCAGGGAAAACATTCAGAAACAATTCTGATTGGTAAATGCATGTTTGATTTTTTTCATCATATTTTGCTCTGTATATAATTGTTTGGGGGTGTATTAGTATACTGAAGTGACTTGCGCAGGATACTTTTGAAGCAAGAATTGAGCTCGAAGTTTTTGGTGGCTGAAAGTCCTGACTTATCTCACGGTGATGGGCAGATAGCAACAGCTGGAGCACATTGATAGTTACATCTGCACCAGAGCAGAGAGGCCAGGCTTACTCCTCTACACTCACATTCTAGGAACTGGATGGAGGGGCTGGAGAGATAGTTTGGTGGTTAGAAACATTGACTGTTCTTCCAGAACCCATCCGCATTGGAATCCCAGCACCCACATGACAACAACCATCTGTAACTCTAGTTCCAGGGGATCTGATACCTTCTTCTGACCTCTGCAAGCAGTGAACACATATGATACACAGACATTCATGCAGGAAAAGCACATAAAATAAAAATAATAAATCTTTAAAAGAACTGTTAGTATTCAGGAATCTGTACTGGTCTGCCTTTAGTGTTCTGACAGGATCCATCCTCAGCTGCAGCCACTAAGAGCACCTGTGCACATTCACTATGTTCCCTTTTAAAAGGGCCTTGCCTGTCTCCTCCTCCTCTTCCTCCTCCTCCTCCTCCCCCTTTTCCCTCTCTCTCTCTCTCTCCCCCCTTTCTTTCTGTTTCTCTGTCTCCCTGTTTCCCCCTACATTCTCTCTCCCTTGTTCTCTTCTGCTGCTCCTGTCTCCCTCCTCCCCTCCCTTTTTCCCCTTTCTCTTTCCCCTAAGGAAAAAAAAAAAAAAACCTCCACATGAGTTCTGTCACATAGTGTCTTTCTCTCTCACACAGCTTTTTAAATTACAACAAGAACACTTTAGTGGAGTTAGAGAAGTTCCTTTTCCAAGGCATACAGTATGGACTTACTTTATTTTAGAATTCTTTTGTTACAATAAATCTTTCCGCCAAAAGCTGCCCAAGCCCTACTGCCATGTGGACGCTTTCCACCAGCCGCCTGAGTTCTGCCCGCTGAGTTAGGGCCCCAATTAATACACAGAGACTTATATTAGGTACAAATGCTGCTTGGCCAATTACTATGATTTTCATCTGTTAGCTCAGACTTAATTATCATAAATCTATATATTTTATAAGACTTATCTTATCGGACGCCTTCCATTGGCGCCCTCACTTACCAGTGGATCACATGGCGACTCTGGAGGAAGAGAGGGCCTGCTTCCTTCTTCCTTGTTTATGTATGAGTCTCCCTGCTATGTCATTTCCTGCCTGGATCATCACTTCTTTACTACATTTCACAGAATCCTCCTTGCCTCCTAGTCCCGTCTAACTTGCTGCCTCATTGGCCAAACAGTACTTTATTCAACAATCAATAAGATGAACATACACAGAAGTACATTCCCCATCATTCTTTCTTTGAGTTAGTCCAAGGTCTCATCATTTAAAGGTGCTACCAAAGGCCTGGCTAGCTCAGACAATAGAGCATGAGACTCTTAAAGGTGCTACCAATCTCAATACTCTAGGGACATAGGCTATAATATGAACCCTTAGGGGGACACAAACTCTACTAAGCCACAGCAGGATGATAATAGACATCTGTCTTGTTTGAAATAAACTTTGGACAAGATATAAATATTACTATGGTCATTTTTATATGAAAATATTAGGTATATCATTGCTGAGGAAAGTAAGGATATCTGTAGTGTATTACAAGTGAAGTGTATGGCATAGAGTCCAAGGACCTGCATCTAAATTCTAATTACTCTAATAAAAAGTGACATTTTATTTGTCTTTTGCTAAACTGCCATTTTAATATGAAAGTTTACATTTTGTCCTAGAATATACTCATTCCACTCCACAGAATATGACATCTCCTATCTACCAGTTTTTTATTTCACTCCAATATTTCATCCTATACTTAAGCCATTAGTCACTAATCACTGGATACCTTGACTTTGAAATGAGCCTTGGAATCTGTGTGTGAATTTTTCTGGAAATTGATTCAGTGATGTTGGGAAACAAAGTTATAGTTAGGGGTGGCATTTCCCATCAGGTCACATATGCAGTTAAATCTGGGGAAATTGCCTTTGGCCCGTTATTGTTTGTTTTATTTTGTCAAACAGTAGACTATCATTCACATAGAGCAACATAAGTTTTAAGTAAGATTGTGTTATATCCATCTATTTCCTACCCCCATTCCCATTTGCAGAATTCTGGTTTATTTAAACACAATAATAAGAGAAAATTGTCCTAGTTAGCTTTTATTGTCAACTTCATACAACCTGCAGAAAGATAGCGTGGTTAAGGTTTGAGTCAAATTTACTATTGTATGTGCCTGGGTCAGCTTGGGTTAGTTTGGTTTTGTTTCAAAAAGGGGGACTTTCCAAAGATCAGGATCAACAATACAGACAGAAGCAGGAAACTCGGGGCTGGCCACCAGGCAGCAAAGCATAGATACTTCTGTGTCACCAATTTAATGACAGGAAGATGACTGTTTGTCCCAAACACAGTCTCCGTATAGTTGCACCTCGATTTATATCAGTAATAGGAAGAGACTAGGAACATATACATGCAAACCCACCTTCAGCCAAAAGGCCATGCATCTTTCAGACTTTCAGATAATAGCCACGTGTAACTGTGACTGTGGTTAGGAGGAGGAAAGGGTAGGGAAGGAGGAATGGGACCAGCACATCAGGACCCTTGCAGATTTCTCCTCAGTCACAGCCCTCCCCAGTCATTCCCTGAATAAACTCTAACTGTACTTCTGAAGTATTCCCTGCTGCTTTTCCATACTCGCTGGGTCGTCATTCAGACACATAGCTCACACAAGTGGGGTCTTGCTTTACATGTTCCTTTGTCTGATTTCTTCCATTTGTTGTGTGTGTGTGGTTGAGCACAGAAGCAGTTTGTTCATTTTCATTATTACATGGTGTTCTGTTTTATAAATGCACTAGAACATGCTTGGTCATTCTGTTGTGCTAAACATCCAGGTTAGCTATATGTCCCTGCTCCATATAATGTCACTACGGATGTTCTAAATACACCCAGATAATAAAAACAAGCTGTCAAGAAATACCGGATAGTCACAGAAACATCAGTCAGAACGATCCTTTCGGGAGGGGGAGGGGTGTCCTATGGAAATAGGTGAATGAAGCTTCTCTCACACAGCAAGTCTTCTGGTAAAGGCATGTGCCTGTAATCCAAGCATGAGTGGGAGACAGGGGTTAACACAGGAGACTTTCTAGAGCTCAGTCCTCTACTAGTATAGCCAAATCAGTGAGCTCCTGGTTCAGTGAAAGACCTATTGCAAAAAATTAGTCAAGGGGCAATAAAGAAAGGCATCTAGCATTGACCTCTTGCCTCCACATACAGATGCAAAGCATGGCCCACAGAGTAAGTCCCTAACACCCTGGACGACACCAAGATAGAATGCTTTGTAGCGCTCCCTTTTGCTTTGATTTCCATGTGACCCTGAGCCTAGGATCATTACAGATTCACTCTCACAGGTTACAATACTCTTTAATATGTTTCCCATGCTTATAAAAATAAACACTGTTAGCAAACACCAGAGATTAGTTTGTTTGGTCTTTTTAACCACGTGACTTTTACATGCATGTGTATATATACTTTACATACTTATTTTATGTGTATATGTATCTATGTGCAGACACATGCACTGCTTACTGTGGCACACCTATGGAGCTCAGAGGACAACTTGCAAGCATCTGTTCTTACATCTTACGTTGCTTTTAGGCGGAGTCTGTCTTGTTTCTGCCACTGCTCTATGTGCATAGCCATGAGCTTCTGGCCAGTTCTGCTGTTTCTGCCTACCATTATGCTGTAGCTTTTTATGTGAATTCATGGGGACAAACTCAGGTTGTCAGGTTTGTACAGCAAGTGTTTTTGCTCACTGAGCCATCTCCCAGGCCTCCAGAAGACTCTCACTGTGTGGAGAGAAGCTTCATTCACCTATTTCTGTAGAACCCCTGAAAGGACCGTTCTGACTGATGTTTCTGTGACTATTGGGTATCTTCTTGACAGCTTGTTTTTATTATCTGGGGCACACACTTGAGATTATTTTAGGGGCATAAATGAGGTTAAAAATCAAAGAACTAGGAAAATATCTAAGAAAAGTTGCCAATTAACCATGGTGGGGATAGGAAGTCATTCAGGCTGGAAAAGGTCATGATGAAAGTAGCAGATGGATCCAGATGTGGTTGCTTGTGCTTGTAACCCTGGCGCTCGGGAAACAGAGGGAGAGGCACATCACAAAACCGAGGCTAGCCTTGTTTACATAGCAAATTCTAAGTAAGCTATAGCAAGATGTTGTCTCAGAATAATGAAAACTATAACGACAACCAAAAAGTGGAAATAGCCAGAGCCAAGGGGCCCACCATTCCCTGATGTTATTCCAGACTGTCACTGCCATGCTTTGTTCTAAACTCCTATATGTACTCCATGACATGTAAGCAGGAACCAAAATGGTATTTTCTTAGAGTTAGGATTCTTCAATATTATGCCTCTTGATATCCCAAGAAGAGCTTTGTATTTCAAGGGATGCTAGTGTTCCGAGGAGACAGACTTTTGGAAACAGTGAAATATAGGGCAGTCATCTGATATTTTGGGTAAAAGGTCATAGGAAGTTAGAATTTGTGCTTCAGCATCACATAATAGGAATGGCAACACAGCTTTGCTATTGTCTGGGGTAGAGTGGGCAGTTATTTATGTCCTTTCTAGCTACGAGACTCAACAGAGGTCGCCCTTGATGGGGTGGGAAAGAATCTTGGCTGGGGTTTGGCAGATGCCTTTTGTGCCTCTGTTGCTTCCCTTTCAGTTTGTAGGCATGATGAATTTCATTGGTGGATTTCATAATGTTAAGCCAACTCTATTTCTGTGAAAATCTCACTTGATTATGATGTATGGCTTTGTTAAAGAATATTGTTATATTTGAGGTGGCAAGTTTTCGTTTGAAATTTTCACATCTTTGTTAGTGCAGAAATATTGGCCTGTAATTGTCTTTTATCTTAATGATTTTGGTTTGTGGCATCATTCATAGTTAGCTTTGAAGACTGAGTTAGGAAGAACTCCCTTTAACTGTTTTCCATGTGAGTATACAATCTAACGTCGCAGTCTGCTTTGCTTTTATCCTTTCCATATGTACAACTCCCTACTCTGGCAATGAAAATCCCACACCCCTCTACCTTTCTTTATCAGTGAATGCTTCTATTTGTAACCAGAATTCCCACTGCCATCCCTTCCTTATATAAATGTCCCCTTCCCCCTTGAGCTTAGCTGCAGCTACTGACCTCCTCCCCACCCATGTGGTTACCTCCTCTTACCACCCAGGCTGGCGGACCTCCTGGGCCAGACTACTCCACAGCCTGGACTCCCTCTTCACCTTCCCTTTCCAACCATTTATGAAACTATTCCTGCCAGCCAAGCTGTTTTGTTCAATTTAAGCTCCACCTTATCTACACATAATTGGCAAATAACGAATATCTAATCAGTAAGTATTTTTTAAACCTCCATTTTAAAATGGATATGTGCTATAGTGACACTGATGAAGATGTTTTTAGAACCATTTGAGTTTGCATCTTGGCTGTTAACTT